CTGACCTTCACAGGGAGTGGAGGGGAGCAAGGAGAAGCTCCAGAAGCCTGTTTCCCAGGGAGCTGAGATCCAGCCTGAGACAGGTCTTTGCTTTTGGGCCTCCCTGTGCTAGAGATGGCCTGGAAGCCAGGAGATATGAATATATGATGGGTCCCATGTGCTCAGAACAGGCTTGCATAAAGCTCTTTTGTAGCATGAATTCTGATTAGTCAAAGATGGAGTTAATCCTGAAAGATCAGAGAAGCAGAGCAGCCAGCTACTAGTTCTTACCTCTCCTGAATCCTCAGACCAAAGGGACGATCCCATCCCTGTGAATCCTTGGATAGAATGCACGATTCTGTCTCTAGGAATCCCCAGACTGAAAACAATGAGCTCCTGTCTCCTCCTGCCGTATATTCCTCTCTCCACCCAGCCATTTCACTCCTATCTCCACCTCCCAAGTGCTGGGATCAAAGGTGTGAGCTCCGTTTCTCTTTGAGACTGGATCAATCTAGTGTAGACCAGGCTGGTCTTGAACTTGCAGAGATTCCTTTGCCTCTACCTCCTGAGTGCTGGGATTAAAGGTGTGGGCCACCACTGACTGGCCTCTATGGCTAACTAGTGGCTTAGCTCTGTACTCTGATCTTTAGGCAAGCTTTATTTTGTTAGATCACAAACAAAATATCACCACACGTTTTGGAGCTGGACTTGGTGATGCATGCCTTTTATGCAAACACTCAGGAGGTAGGGATAGGTAGAGCTCTGTGAGTTTCAGGCCAGCCAGGACTACATAGTGAGACCCTATCTCAAAAAAAAAATATTTTTAAAGTGCAGAGGGGCCCTTGATCACAGCCTGCACGCTATGGCTCATACTCTTCACTATTTGCTTTGCTATGGACACTGTGCTGAGATGGCCACTGCCTATATTGTAACAACTATTGCCATGACACAAATAAATGATCCCCAAATATTTTATCTCTAATCTCTATCTACTTTCCAGTCTCAAAAAAATCTCTTTATCTCTAAGCCTTCTTCACACTCTGTTTAAAAAACAAACAAACAAACAAAAAAAACAAAAACAAACAAAAAAAAAACTAAGACCATTATTTAAACTTTACCTCAGGATTTGTAAGTTCATTTGAGTGTGTGGATTTTAAAAACGTAAAAAAAAAAAAAAAAAAAAAAAAAAAAAAAAAAGGCAGGCATTGGTGGCATACACCTTTAATCCCAACACTTAGGAGGTAGAGGGAGAGGGAAGCAGATATCTGTGAGTTCAAGGCCATCCTGGTCTACAGAGTTAGTTCCAACACAGGCTCAAAAAAAAAAAAAAAAAAAAAAAAAAAAAAAACAAAACAAAAAACAAAAGCATTGATGGTTTTTTAAAAAAAATCTATACACAGGTAATCTTAACTTGCTACAGAAATATATATATATAATCTGTAACTTGGACTCAATAAGTAGGACTTACAACATGTTTGAGGATTAAGGTTTATAAATTCCCGAGGTCCATCCAGGCTGACGAAAACTGACTTGAAGATGTCTGTCTAGCCTCTTTGTCTTTGCTAACTTTGGTAAGTTTGGATAAACTGAGTCATACCAGAAACTGATAATCTATAAAGGTTCACTGTGAAAGGACCAGGAGAGTAGAGTTTCTGGTCTCTCTGGGGACTGCATTTACTGTTTAAAGTCTTTTAGGATTCAAACTTAACAGGAATAAAACCACAAGGTCCTAATTCTCTAAAAGCTATGGACTTGTAAACTGTTAAAGATAATAAGGACAGGAAAGTTAATGGCCGGTCTCCATATAAATTATTGAAATCTTTAATGTACTCAGAACTGTGCTTGTAGGTGTGCTAAGTACAAATGTAATTCATCTACAGGGACCAAGCTTTTAGTCTTCTGTATATGTTGTACAAGGTTAACCCTGACACAATGAACTAAAATCAATTAAAGTTTGTTTCAAATCAAGTGTAGTTAATAGATTAGATGGTGGCCCTCAAACCTCAGAAAGATCTGAATATGGCATTTAATGTGTTTAATAAAAATAGTCTTCCTTGATAGACAAAATACCAGCTCTGGTTGCAGCAGCTGAGGCTATCCTTAAAGGAGATGGGCAGTAAGAGACTCCTTCTAGAGATTACTTCAAGTGCGGTGACACATAGCACTGGGCAAAGAACTGTTTCATGCCTTGCCCCTGCCAGGCTTGCCACACTGTTGGACTGACTGCTCCTCTCTGCCTCATTAAAGTAGGCCAGTTCAAGTTCCACCTGCATAGAAAAATCTCTCATTGCTTCTTGTCTGGTGGCTGAGGGCTGATGCCTTGTGTGGCAGCCAAAGTCTGATGACCTCTGCCTCCAACAAAGCCATTGAGATCACCACTGAGGGTCACAGGCTGGCTGTCCAGATAGTGGGTAAGTCTCTGTCATTCTTATTTGAGAGGCCGCTTGGTTGATACTTCCTACTCACCTTTATCCTGCTGGCCATGTCCACTCTGCCTTTTCTCTCTGCTGTCTCTTAGTCACAATAAAACCCTTAACCAAACAGTGAACTGGTCACATTGACAGTTTCTTTACTGCACTCACTTGCAATATCCATATGTGAACACTTACAGCTATGATTAGAGGAACAACATGTGTACATTTGTGTCTAGACATGTGTCCTCACACTGAAGTTGGCCGCTCACAGTGGGAGTCTGTACCAGATGTGGAAATGGAACACTGAATTCTAAAGACCTAGGCCTGGGCTGTACCTAGAAGTCCTTTCTAAGTTCCTCTTCCTGATCTCCTAACCCCAAAGCCTACACCTATGCAGCTCAGCCCAAAAGCTCCGTTGCCAGAAACGACTAGGGTGATGAGATTTTCTTCCTCTTCTGCTTTTTATGATTCTTTCTGGTCTTCTCCTACCAACTGGGGAGGGACCAAGTGGTCTCTGCCACCTCATATACAGCCCAGGTCATTCTTTGTTCCATCTTCAGCCAGTATAGACCTGAGGGTATGCAGGTGAGGACTAGGGCACACTCTGCATTCATGTTGACGCTTCTTAGCCTCGTTGTCCGGAAAATGCTTAGGTTACTAACAAAGGCAGAGGTCCACCCAGGGAGGTTCACTCAGACTTCAGAGTGGCTGAGAAGTTCTTGGTCAGGTAAAAGAACCTTTGATGAGACAGTGACATATATATATTTTCCCTCTGCCTCTGTGTAAAGGGAAAGCATAGAGACCATAATGGAAGGGTCAAATGATTAACTGAAGTCATGCTTTTCTTTCTTTCATTTTTTTTGTCTCTTTGTTATTTGTTTGTTTGTATGAGACAGGGTTTCTCTATGTAGTCCTGGCTGTCCTGAAATTTACTCTATAGACCAGGCTGGCCTCAAACTTAGAGATCCACCTGCCCCCTGAATGCTGGGATTAAAGGTGTGTGTCACTTGAAGTAACATTTCTTAAGTTGAAGATACAAACATTATTTCACATGATTTGGCTTGGCTGAAATAGTTCATCATCAATTAATTTAAAAAAGCATGAATGTCGCAGCTGAGAGGACCTGGATTTAGATCCATTTCTGCCCCTTTTTTTGCTGTGTAACCTGGGGCAAGAGCTTAACCTCTCTGGGCTCATTAATTGCATGTAAAACTAGGCTCCTAGGGCTGTGTGAATATCATCCATGAAGTTCTAAGACCCCTTTCCTGAATCATAGCCTAAGAAATACTAGACTAGCCCTCAGGGTCCTATTTGAACCGGTCATGGCTCCCTATCCATCCATCCCAAGCTGTCATCACCATCCATCAGGTGAGAAAGCAGCATCTCCTTAGGCAGGAACCCAGAGGCCAAGATTGGAGCAAGGGACAGTGTCCCATAGGTTTCTTTGTTGGAAGAAAGGGAAGGCAGCTTTGCCTCACCCCAGATCTGTTTCTGGGACCTCTGTAGCTTCTTGGCTAAGGACTAGAGCAGGGGTAGGAGTGATGGACACAGCTCTGAGATGACTTACACAGGCCTTTTTGTAGGATGTGAGGAAGGAAACAAGGAAGAACACGAGGGTTCAATGACCCTGAAGATGTGTCAATGACCTTCCATGGCACCTCTGAGGAATGGCTGTGTCTCCCACAGGAAATGTAAGTTTGCCACCCCATGCTACCCTACTCCACCCCTAATACATGGGCATTTGGATTCTGGTGTACCTGTCCTCTTGGAGAACAGGAGCCTCCTCAAGATAAGCAATGTAGCTTTTGTCTGTACATACACATATTCTCACAGATAATCACATGAGCCTATGTGGGTGCACCAGATCTAGCTATGGAATCTAGAAAAGAACTCAGACATCGTTCTTTGTGGACAAATTTAAAACACAAGTGTAGCTCATTTTATTTTATCTCAGGAAAAAAAAAAAAGACAAAACATACAAACACACAAACAAAAAAGCCAACTCTCCAGAAAGAAAGGCAGTAGATAGGGCCTCTGATGGGGCAGCTCTGAGCTACCCAGGCTCAGGTCCAGGGCTTGACAGTTCTAACCTCTCTCATGGGACCTGAGAGCACACACTCTGGCACTACTCCCTGCACAGTTCCTGTCTTCAAGCCCAGCTTTGTTGCCCCGAGATGGCCCTGTGACTAAGTGCATGACGGCCTGCGGCAGTGTGAGAGGGCTGCCTACAACTCCTTGGGACCAGAGCAGGATCGGCGGCAGACCCAGGAGCCAGGGAGGGGAAGTCAATAAAATAGAGAGCGTTTCCTCACATTTTTATCTTCTGGAAAAAAAGTAGTCAAGTGCCACTTCCAGGCCAGCAGCTCCCTGAGCCCTAGACAGTCTGGGGAGAGTAGTGTACTATGGTGGGAAACCTGAAGCAGCCATGCCCCAGCATTGGGCCAGGCTGCTAAGCCACAGCTGCTTAATAAAGGCAAGACAGAGCTTTCTGATATCCTGGACTGAGGGAACTGGGCCCCACCTTTGAAGATGCTGATGCTACTGTAACTCCAGCCTAGCACAGGGCCCCATGGTACAGAGCATCTCCTTCCTTCGCCCCAGGCCTTTCTTACAGAATTCATGCTGCTGCAGGTTGATGTTCCCTCTTCTTAGTCCAAAGTGGGAATCAGATGCCCAGGGGGCTTCCTGGCATGGTCGTCCTTGTCTTCTCTCAGTGAGATTGGTCCAGCCAACCGAAAAGAAAAAGAGTTCTTTCCCTCAGGAAGGGGCAAACTCTGTAGACCACGAGGATGTCCCTACTCTGACTTCAGCCCGTTGATCCCCTAGGCCAGGGTGCTCTGGGTGTCCTTCCTGGTGCTCTGCATCCCCGGGAGACCCTTGGGAACTCCCTCCGCTCACAAGCCCCAGGGTGTAGCCATTGGGCCTCCGTCCAGAATGGGGGCCGCTGCCATTGGCCCATACCCCCAAGGAGTGGCCATTGAGGCGGAGGCTGACCTGCTCTCCCTCAGTGCTGTGAGATGCCAAGGCCCAGGCACTGGAACCCCCTGCCTTGAAGGGTTCCTGCCGCCTCAGGACATGGGTGCGGATGATCTTCCGGAAGGTCTGGCGGAACTCCCGGATCCTGTAGGCATAGATGAAGGGGTTGACAACAGAATTTCCGTGGGAGAGGATGATGGTCAGGTACATGAGCCACGGAGGGGCATGTTGGCATGAGGGGCAGAAGAAGGTGAAGCAGTTGATGATGTGTAGTGGTAACCAGCAGAGGGCAAAGAGCCCCACGATGATGGCCAAGGACTTGGCAGCATGGACCTCCTTCTGCAGTGTGGACCGAGTTCGCTCCCCTGGCAAGGGTTGGCTTTCCATCTGCTTCAGCTGTCTCCGGGCTGCCAGAAAAATCCGCAGGTAGATGCCCAGCATGAGCAGTAGGGGCAGTAACACGAAAGCAAAGAAATTGTAATATACCATGTAGTTCATGGGCACCACGTCCTCGAACAGACAGGTCACCTGGCCCTCGCCGCAGGTCTGCGTGTAGTTCCTGCTTTCCTTAAGGTAATTGCAGTTGTTCCAACCCAGCATGGGGGTCAGGCCAATGGCAAATGACAGCACCCAGCAAATTGCAATGATGCCCTTCGCCCTCATACCTGTCACCAAGCCATTGTACCTGGGGAGAGAGGACTGGCATTAGAGGCCTGATGAACAAAGGTCTAGCAGGGACACAAGCCGAGAAGCCCATAGAAGCCCTGATGGTCCCTGTGTTTCACTTATGGGGTCCTCATTAAGCATGTCTTCCTCTTAGCCTGAGTACTACACTCTTCTAAGTAAGGGGCTGCACCTTGTCTTTCTCAGAGCTGAGGGAGGGCAATGGGGAGTGGGCATACAGGACATGGAAACTATCACACAAGTCCTGAGACTTAAAATCTGAGTTTGGTTTGAGAGAAACAGCTGATCTTAGGGGGCATAAGGGCCACCTCTATGTTGGTGAATCTTGCTTCATATTATAATTTAGAGTAGGATAGGTGCAGGATGGAGATGGAACCAGCAAGATCAGACCTGTAGATGGTCTAAGCCCTTGTTCTCCATGCTTGCTCCTCCCTATTTGACTTGAATCTCCACAGACCTCAAGAAAAGGCTCAGAGGACATGGAGGAGTCCCAGGCCAAATGAGATAGTGTTCCCACTTCAAACCCACCCACAGTCCTCTGGCTGGAAATGAGACAATTATGTCTCGACATTTTCCTGGCAATCTGAATAATCAAGAGACACTGAATGGGGTGTGAAATAAGACAGTAATCTGCCTGAGGGCCAAATGAAAGTATTCTTATGCTGAATGCCAGTCCCAGGATGGGGATTGGGGGGGGGCAGGACTTGATTGGTTAACCAGAAAGTAAACTCAGCTTCACTGGAAATAAATCATTACTTTAGAAAAAGAATGAAATTTTTTTTGGGGGGGTTGGGTTTTTTTTTTTAGGTCTCCTTGATGGGGGTGGGGAGGAGAACTTTGGTAGTATCGTAATATCTGAGGGATGAACTTAAGTTTAATGGTTTCAATTCTGGCAAAGCAAGACTACCCTCCCCACTGCTCAGTGGAACTTCCACTCTTCAAGTTCAAGCTGGACATCTTGGAGAAGTTTCTTATCTCATCTGAGGCTGGGAGCACACTTGGAGTTGGACTCTCCAGCATTTATCTCTACATTTGCCAGCCGTGGGACAGGGGCCGACAGTAGGTAACAAGGAAAACATACACACTTATTGATTCTAGACTTAAAGCAGCTGCAGAAAGGCTGTTGCCTATGGGTGGCAGACACACGTACCTACTGATAACAGGCATGGGAGGAAGGTTGGTATATGTTTACCCTGTCTTTATCACCATGCAATATGTATGCCCAGAGTTGAACTTACCTCACATGTGTTCAAGCATCATAAAAAAAAAAAAAAAAAAAAAGAAAGAAAGGCAGGAAGGAAAGAAAATGTGTAGCCAGTGTTGCTACATCTCAAGAAGGACTTGATGGTTGATTTATTATTTTTTTTTTTTTTTTTGAGGCAAAAAAAAAAATCTCCCATTTTAAATGTTGCCACGCAAATGAACAAACAAACAAACAAACAAACCCTAGTAGTTTCTGACTACTTATCTAATCTGTTCCTCTGTTTCAGGGCTGGGGAAACTAAAACTGAGATCCAAAGAGAGGCAGGGACTTGCTGTGAGCATCCCAAGGCCCAGGGGCAACTCAAACCCAAGTGAATTTCTCACCATCTTTTAGTTTCTTCCCCCATGGAGCTGGGGATCAAATCCTGGCAAGCATTCCACCACTGAGCTACCACTACAGCCCTGTTAATTCAGAATCCAAACAGTAACTGGTTGGTATATTCTTGGGAGCTTCCCAGGCCCACTGAGCTGGGCCTTGGTCTCTTGTAATAGGGCCTGTGCAGGAGGGTCACAGACTTATTATAGTCACTAAGCACCTCAGAACAAGCATTGCATGTGTGGTTGTCTGGAGGTTCAAGCATGAAGACCTAGGGTCCCCGCCCCATCTAATACTTACATACTTACTCTGTGCCAGGCACCCTCAACCAAGCTTTACATGATCCTCATGGGAGGGAAAGCTATGTTACTGTTCACATCTTTCCTGGGACAAGCACACCCTTCCTGGGTCCTAGTCCTGGTACATTCCTGTAAACAAGGAATGCTGTGTCACTTTTCCTCTCTGGGTCTTGATTTCCTCATTTATAAAACGAAACTAAGAATTCTAGACCTATCACCACCGCCCTATAAGGGCAAGATGCTGAATTTAGTGAATGGAAATCCCAGGGAGCCACTCTGTAGCTCAGGGTGGATCAGAGTATTCAGCTGTTGTTCAGAGAAATGGGCTGTCTAGGGTACTGATGAGCTTTCAGGGGCAGTGTAGGGTCTCCCACCTTGGTGGTTTTCCAACTGTTCTCAGAACAGGCCTTCTTGCCCTGGTCGAGGGAGTCAGAAAGGCAGTAGTCTTGAAAAAGAGATCCAACTAAATAAGTAATTTCTGAGTTAAGAAGTTGTTGGAGACAACAGATAGCTTCTGGGAACACACCATGGAAATCCCTGGTTTATCCAGTTTACTTTTACTGACAGAGAACCCACAAGGGGAACTCTTGCAGTGCATTCTAGAAAGAAAGTCCCTTTGGGGACAGAACCCAATATGTAAGATGTACTTTCCTATGTTGTTGTACTTTCCTATGAGGGGCTTGGGGACATTAGGTTATATGGTCTTTGTTCTTCTTAATGTTTAAGCACATGCAGGTATTATTTCAACACACACACACACACACACACACACACACACACACACACACACACACACACCCCATATAGGAGTACATGCTCATATTTCCAGAGCTTGGAAATAGAGGCTGAAGCCTGAGGTCTAGGATAACATCAGGGCCCAAATGGAATCACCAACAAACCATAGCTATTCCGAGGGCACACTCTGGCTTGTATCTGTGACCAACATGGTCTCATTCAGGCCTTCTAGGTAAATACATTCTGTGCAGCTAGAAGGATGCCCAGGCTGCATGACATTGAGTCATTCCAGGGAGCCTCAGAGATACAGGGTGTGGGTGCCGGAGTCTCCGTCAGCCCTTCTATTTAAGTTGCCTCTGTATCCCTATGTCCTCAGCCTTTAGAAGTTGTCCTTCCCTGAGAATCTTTGTTACTCATACTGGGGACTCACACCACAGCTCCAGAACATGCCCACAATTCCAGGTGGAGTTTTCATGTGTATTTGCAACACTGAAGAGAAGGTGGGACTTTCTAAGGCATCTTAAGGGGCCAATGGCCTAAGAATTGAAGAGTATCTCACCCAGGGAAGAAACTCAAAATCCCTCCATACACAGAGACCAGCCTAAATTGGCCTCACACCACATTCAGCAGCCAGGCTGCCACTCTAGCACAGAGGGGGGCCACACCCACATGCTCACTCACTCCTTCCCTGGGACCTTTGCCAGGGTTTACCTTCCTGACACCTCCCTCCCACTTCACCCTGTCAAGACCACACACATCCTGTAACATCAATATGGCAAGACTTCCTCCAGGGCATTGTCTCCCAATTCTGTGCCCTTACCAGCATCCTTGTGGAGGGGAGAATGGAATCCAGGGCTTCACATATGTTAAGCAACTAGTATTCTACCACTGAGCCATGCCTCTAGTCCAGCAAGGGCTTACAGCTACATGGAAAGCCTTTTTCTTTCCTTCCTTTCCCTTTTGTGGTGTGAGGGATACAGCTTAAGACTTCAGGCATGCTACATGAACACTCTACCACTGTGTATATGCCTGGCCCTCATGCCATTTTGGAAATAGAGAAGTGTATTTTATAGGACTTTAGGTCTTGCACAAACTGAACTTCTGTGTGTACTTTGGCCTATTCTTTGGGTATGAGAGCAACAGGAGCCATTGTGAGGCTTGAGACAGTAGAGCAAAGGGTCCCTAGGAAAGGGAGCCTGGTCTCTTACACAAGGCTTTTCATTCCTTGCAGACACAGAGCTTCATCTCTGCCTTTGACCCATTTTCTTTATCAACCAGCAGGCCCTGCCTTAATTTAACAGGGTCCCTACACTCAGGAAGGAGGGGACTGATTACTCTGAAGCTGAATTCTTTTAAGACAACAAAAGAATTCCTGGTGCAAGCCTGGGACTATGCCTCCATCAAAGACTAGAGCCTGTGGACCTTGCCAGTAGCACAGGAAGTACCTTAGCAGAGGCTGAATTCCTAGCTATGAAGGGAAGAAAGTGAGTCAAAGCTAGAGAGCAGCTCCAGAGCTAGCCAAGGGTGCCTCGCCTCCTCCAGATCCCCCTCATGTCTGGTCCTCTGGTCTCCTCTAGACCCTGTTCATGCCTGGTTCCCTGACCCCTATCTAGAAACCCTCATGCCTGGTGTTTCCACATCATGCCTGGCTTGCTCTCAGGAGCCCCGATACAGATACTTCCACATTCTCGTGACCATAAACTTTAGGAGATAGGAAAGAGAAGGGGCTCAACTGCCAGGGGCACAGTGGCAGGCTCTAGAGCCCATCCAGATTGGGAGGCACAGAGATGTCCTTTCTTGGCTCTGGTCTCTGGTCATGACATCTGCTCTGGCTGAAATACTGGACCAGGATGATCAAAGGATAAACTGTACTAGCACTCCATGGCAGCTGTAAAACTGCCCATAGGCAAGATGAATAACTATCCTTAGTGGGCATCTTCAGACCTATCAGCTCCTTGCAGAGACTAGACTGTGTTTTCCAAAGCCCCACCCAGAACTCAGATAGCCCAAGGTCCAAGTGGATCTGAGGTCAGGAGGCCCTGGGGGTCAGGAATGCAACTAGACTAGGGATAGGCTGCTGTCTCCAAGCCTCCATCTCAAAAGAACTGCATCTTTCCCTCATTCCCTTGCCCAGCCTCATCATTCCTACCCACTTACTGAAGCCACAGACCTCTGTGAACTCAACCTGACAATACAGAAACTTGTCTCCTTGTCACACCAGAGGAAACAGGCTCAGCATAGGGCAGCTAGCTTTTTATAAGCACACAATTCATCCCATCCTATTTCAGGGATTGAGTCTCTTGATACTGAGAAGACAGAGACAGCGAGAGGCCAAGGAGAGGAAAGCAAGATGAAGCCTTTAAACTGAGACTAGCCATTGTGATCTTTCCTAATATGTTGCTGCTTGGAGTTGGGAGAAAAAGAATGTTAAACTACTGCTCTCTCTTGGTGATCCACTACTTCATGGCTGAGCTTGACTCAAAGGGTAGATGCCATTGACCCCCTGGGGACCCATACACATACTCCCCCAGGCCTCTGTGTTCTAATCTGTCACTGCAGGAAACTAGACCTTGATCTACTTCAGAAGCATGGGTGGAGGCAATGGGGCAGGCTGTCCCCACAGGCAACCTTTAACCCCATCCCTTCTTAGAGCTGGCCAGAAGTCCCTCCCTCTTTGTTTTTGATTACTGTTCTTTTCTTTGAACAGGGGTCTTTGTGCAGACTCCTGGCTGGCCTGCAACTCATCATCCTCAGGCTCTAGCTTTTGCCAAGTTCCAGGACACAAGCATGTGCTTGCTACCACGCCTGCCTGAGTCCCTTAAAGACTTTTGACCAAGCCTTTAAGGCGACACAAGGCACAGGCTCCATGGTTCTGAGTAGCCTAGTATGGGTGTTCACCTCTCCCTCAGGGCACAGATTATAGCAAGGGCTGTGTGATGTACCATCTAGGACATAGAGCCACTAGGGACAGTCCTCTAAGGCTGTCATCACAATGATGGCGTGCCACACTTCTTCCCAGGCTCTGCTATCAAGTCCTTGGTTGGCTGCGACAGAGCTAGCTTGTAGTGGCATTCTGGAGATGCAGCATCTGCCTGCAGGATGCTCTGACCACAACCCAAGAGAGCTCAAATCAGCCCCTCCTCTTCCTTATAAGGGTCACATCTGTCCGCACACTGAAGCCACACCCTAAGGCCATTACCTCAGGTCTATTAGCAGAACAAGATGCCACTCCACTAGCCCCTTCTCAGAAGCTCCTTTTTCTATCCAGAAGATGAGAGGAAGGAAATGACCTCTAAAGGCTGTCTTGCATTTGACTCTGACTTTCCACTGCTCACGGAGCCTGATCCTGCTTATTGCCTCAGCCCACAGTAGAGTTACTGATGCTTCATTGGTGGGTGGGGAACTCCACTTGAATAGAAAAACTCACTATATGTTCTAATCATTGCCTCATTATGGAGTTCTTCCTCAAGGCCTGCAGCCACCCCAGCCACAGGACCTAGCTTTGGTAGGAAGCACAGGAGGGCAGTCCTTGGGAGAGTAGTATTGCACTGCCTAGGTTATCTATGGGGTACCTGGGGCCTCAGGAAAGATCTTCATTCCACAACACTTGGCTGAAGTCACTTCATAAAAGAATCACCATAAAAATCCCTTTGCATAGCCAGCCCCTAAAGCAGGCAGAGTCCCCTCAGACTTAGGAGCAATATAATTTGCATAGAAGTCCAAATGACTCACTGTGGCATTTGGCCAAGTCACTTCCCCTCTCTGGGTCACTCTCCTAATGTACACACTGGGGAAAGGCTGGTGGTGGCACAGGCGGGTTCCTAGCTGAGGTTCTGTGGCTTCCCATGGGTCCCCGCCCACCTCAGATCATGCTTAGATGTATGAAGAATAGCTCACACACAGCAGGCAGCATGTGGTATCTCTGCCAGATCACCCTCATCTGCCAGTAGCCATACATGGCTGCCTGTAGAGAGCTTCAGCATGTGACCTGGGGAGGACCAAGGTGCCCTGTACCTATAGGGATAAGCCAGACAGGCATGGTCACCTCCAGTTCTGTAAAGAATCAAACCCAGTCCCAGAGCCCTGTCATTCGTGGCCACAGATCAAGCTTTACACACAGATACAAGCCCCGGCTCACCGGAGTGGGATGCGGATGGCGATGTAGCGGTCAATGGCGATGGCCAAGAGGCTGAAGATGGAACTCTGAGTGAGGACCAGGACAAAGCAGGCGAAGAAGAGACAGCCATGGCAGGCGGCACAGAAGCCGGTACTGATGGTGATGGCGAAGGGGATGGCAAGCACACCCACTGCAATGTCAGCCGCCGCCAGTGAAACCACAAAGTAGTTGGTGACATTCTGCAGGTTGCTGTTGATCCACACAGCCCAGCACACGAGCACGTTGCCGAGGATCGCCAGCACAGCAATGGCCAGCTCCACTGTGATGTACACCGAGGAGACCATGGTGGGAGCAGCCACACTTGGGCAGGTTCTGCAAGGATGCGGGTCTGGGCCAGCTCTCCGTCCATAGCTGCAGCCCAGCCGTCCACCCGCTCAAGCCTCGCAGCCCTTTCCTCACAAGAGCCACGAGTCTTCCCAGAGACGGTGTTCAGAAGGCTTTCTCATAGACGACTCCGTGTCTCCTGGAATCATGGCTACTCCAGGGGATGTGGCCTGGCTCCACTCTACTTCAGGGTTCCGAGGTCCCTGCAAAGAGAGAATGCTGTGAGCATCTGAGCCACCCTGACCACTTCAGATTCCACTTACTTACGGGCCAGGTGTCTGCCTGAGAATGACTCCTGTCTTGTCCCATCGGTGGCAGTCAGTCAGGACACAGGTCTGAAAAGCTCACTGGTTCCAAAAAATTCTTGTCAAGATCTTCACCCAACCCTTCCCAGGGAAGCAGTTCCACCTCCAGTCTCTTTAGGACAGACATGGGAGGGAGGACTCCCGATAACCAGTCCTCACTACCCAACATGCATTTTCCTTGCTCCAGGTACTGCGTTTACTACCCTCCCAGCTCAGACTGGCGGCTCAAGATGTTTAATCTATGGGAACAAGTTATAGTCGAGGCAAAAGGTGTTTATATTGGATCCTCTTATATGGCTTTCAAGTTTTCTGTGGCAGCCTGGCCAGTTCTCTGGGTCCCTCAATCCCATGAGACCCTCCCTCTAGAAAGGTTCTCTCCCTATTGGGCTTTCCAAATCCCATGTACCTTCTCACATTGAGCCAGCCTCCCAGCCCAGCTCACTTTGCTCAGTGACTACCACTGTAGTCACCTCAGACACTCCTGGAGTTCCTTTCTGGAGGGACCCAGCAGCCCTACGGCCCTATCCTTCAATTCTAGCAAGTAAGCACTCTTACCCTCAGAGGTGACAAAGCTGGGTCCAAGCCAGACCCACTGCTCTGAGAGCTCCTGCCAGCCGGCCGCACAGTCAGGCAGGGCAGGCGCAGTGACTGCTTCCCTTCTCTGAGGGATCCGCCCCCCGCTCTCTTCCCACGCCTCTCCCCACCTGTCCCTCTGCCTAGCTGATGCAGGGAATGAGGCTTTAGAAGAACAGGTGCTCAGGGGGACTCACTGGAGGACTGTGCGCAAGAATGCCCCCCCCCCGGGCCTCAGTTTCTCCACTCAGACTGTCCCAGATGGCAACCAACGGCTCATTTCAGTACTTATCCCCAATCCCTTGAGAAAGGAGTACAGATTTGGAAAGGCTACCCCAGAAGCACAATGTCAGACCTCTGGAAACTGGAAGTCTTGCTCTCTCTGTAGCGGGTCCCAGCCGAGCCCAAACTCCTGCTCTACTCCCTGTAAACAGACATTTCCCAATAGCCTAGTATTCTCCAAGCAAGATCCAAGAGACCCTCCCGCCCCCAATCCATCCTCCTCTTCAGTTTTGAACCTTCATGGAACCCCAGGTTGTGCCTGCATGCAGACACATCTTTCCTCCTTCCCCCTTCCAGGATCGGAGGGAGGGGTAGAATTCAGGCCTTGGGAGAGGGGCCTTCTCCACTTGAAATTGGCCAAGAGGGTTGAAATAAATAAACTTCAAGTTTCCTTATGTGATGTTTGTTGCCAGCGCTTCGGTGTGGGACCAGAGTAAACATGGCTGCAGCTGTGCAGCTGTGTATAGAAGTCCTTCTGCCCAACTAGGAGGCTGATACAGAAGGTTAGGAAAGGAAAGCCAAAGTCTGCAGAAACTGACACAATTAGCATTCCTTCCTCAGTGGCACCATTGCCCCTAAGGTGAGGCAGAGACACCTGTAGCTAAGTCCTGGGGAGTCCTGGCTTTGCACAAGCCATGTGTTCATAATGCATATCCCCAGCAGAATGGCCAGAGCCAGAATGTGTGTCACCTCCAGGCCTTTCTATACCCATGTCTTATAGTTTACAGAAACATTCAACAGGGGTCCACAGCAAGCCCAGAACCAACAGCTTCTGCACTGAGCTATAGCTTTCAAGGTTTGGAGCCACAGCAGGCTCACTGTCCAACCAGGCCCAACCACACTCAACCAGAATGAACCAGGCCCAACCAGATCCAACCAGGCCCAACCAGGCTCAACTAGGCCCAACCAGGCCCAGTGAGACCCTAAAGCTACTGCCTTCTAAGAATCCTGACTCTCTCAACTGGTATCTTCTGGGGGAGAAGGGTAATCATGTGTCCCTTAGGCCCTACTAGGCTCTCTAGTGGAAACTGCACTGCTGGGCACTGAAGCAGTCTGTGATTAGACCAGATCACGTTAGAAGGCTGGCCAAGGCTCTAACCGTCCTCTACCCTCAAGGTCCCCAATGGGACACAGTGGAACATATTTCTGTCAAGGTGAGACGACACCACCCCTGAGCCTAGAGCCCCACTGATGGTCACACCGCCAGCGCTGACCCCCAGTAACTAACTGTACTAACTCCATAACCACCAGGACACTGGCTTGCAAGGGGCCTAACCCAGGCCTACATTTGCTGAAGTTCTCCCAGAAGCCTTGGTACCTGCTTGAGTACTTCCAGTTCTCAAGGTTCTTCATGTCCCGTGCTGGGTTCATGTTGGATATTTTGGGATACCCATGCCCTTCCTGACTGTCCTGAGGCCACCCAGTCTCCTGCTGCTCCCCAGTCTCAACACAGCTGGCCCTCCTGCCAAGCCTGCCTTGTATCAGCTGAGGACACATGAAGGGTTCCTGTCCCAGGGCCCTTTCCTCTGCCCTTCCTTCAACATTCTTGCAGGCTGTCTCAGTTATTGTAGCGCATCCCAGGGGAAGCTCCTCTGATCCCAGGGCCACCTGGGCAGCTGCCAAACCAGAATCTTTCTTTTCATTTGTGCCTTCCCCAGCCCCAAGTCCAGCAGATCAGTGGAGCCAGAAGCATTCTCAGGACAGACCAGAGGGAGGAGTTCTGCAGGGGAAGGCTGAGACTGTCTAGCTATAGGCAGGCAAAATAGCCCAGGGCCAGGGCACCCTGACTTGTAGCCCTTCTTTGTAGTATGAATGTTCCCACTGGGCCAATTCAAACCTACTAATGTATCACTGACCAGACTGAGCCATACACACACAGGGCCAAGAGATGTCAGCCTCTGCTGAACTGCTAAGCCCTCTGCTCTCCAGGTGGCCATGGATCTGAATACCAAGGCTACCCTGGGCCCCCTTGAGGAGCTTGTGTGTGCTGTCTGGGAATTTGGAAAATAACTGAAAGCTGTGTTCTGGACGGCCTGGTGAATTCCATTTTTGCAGATGAGAAGCTGCAGCTCAAATGGGTGAAAAGGCTTTCAGCTTTATCAGGGATGATAGAGGGTGGCATAGTCCTTGGAGAATGCCAAGGGTTGCAGTGAAGACCTCCCTCTCTGTGAAGCCCAGCAGTGGTTCTCAACCTGTAGGTCAGGACCCCTTTGACAAACCTCTACCTCTAAAACAAAATTTTACATTACGATTTCTAACAGGAGCAAAATTACAGTTATGAAGTAGCAATGAAAATAATTTTACGGTTGGGGTCACTACACTATGAGGAACTGTATTAAAGAGTCACACCATTAAGAAGGTTGAGAACCACTGCTCTGGAGTCATGGGACGGCTAGGGGCCCAGGGGAAGGGACCCGGGTAGAGGCTGAATCTAGCAATTTCCTATCCCTTTCTGTTGGCTCTATCGAATTAATCCTTAAGTCATCTGTTGCTAGCCAAGAGGGGAAATTAAATATTAATAATGCTGCATTTCCTTATGATTGTCCTTTATGGGGGACAGGGCAGAGTGCAGAAACTGTCCCATGTAAACTACAGGCACATGCTACAGGACACTTATCAACACACTTGAAGGGACAACCCCTTAGGGTCCCAGCAGTCAGACTCAACACTGCCTCTTCCTTCCCATTCACTCCCAGCCACTTTAATTAAAACCATTTAATATCTCCTGACCTACCCCCGGCTCTGTGTACACATGCCCAGGTGGCAGCTCCAGACCCTGCTGGACATGTCTACGAGCTCCCAGGCAATGCTCCACATACTGTTCCGGGGTGCAGCCAAGCACATGGAACAGAGCAGCACAGAGACTGCCCAGTGCAGCGGCACTAGGTTTCTTTCTGGGAATCTAAACCCCGGCCTTATGATTTTGCTTTTTTGTTTTTGTTTTTGTTTTTGTTTTTGTTTTGAGGCAGGTCACTTGTAGCCCAGGCTGGCCTTAAGCTTGCTATGTAGCCAATTATAATCTTGAAGTCTGATCCTCCTGCTTCTAGTCTCTAAGTGCTGGAGACTAGCATGTGCATATGCCAGGTACCCTGGTTGCCTGTTTCTCATAGGCAATGCTCACCAATTGTCTCCCTGCCACTACCTTTTCTCCTTGCAGTCCCGGAATCTACTTCAAGGGTCTCAAAAGACAAGGACCTGGCAATTTTTCAGTGACAGCTGTCACCTTAAAGATTCAGGCACCCAAGAAGCCATGCCCCAGGCCCCCAGGACCTCATCCCCCACTTCCGATGAGCTGCAAACCAGATTTCAAAATGCAAGAAGAAACCAAGACTAGGAAAGAGGTGGGTCTCACCTTTAACCCTAGCACTCTGTAGGCAAAGAGAGGTAGGTCTCTGTGAGCTGGAGGCCAGGACGGTCTACATAATTACACCTCATCTCAAAACAACAACAAAAAAACAACCCTTGAAAGAAAAATAAAAGTATCAAATCCACAGGAGAGGATATGGCCTACGTAGCAATAATTTAGATATTTTACAAAGGAAGAGCCATAGACAAGAATGAGAGCTAGCAAACTCTCTGGCACACAAGAACAAATACAGCGAGAAGCAAAAAATCCTGGACAGGAAAAACGGGTCAAAATAAAGAGCATGCCGTATGTGACAGGCTTTGGTCCCATAGGCAGTTGGGGACCAAGGCAGTAGGGGATGGAACAGAACACTGAGGAATTCTTACAGGAACCAGAGACAAAGTCTAGAATGAGGAGATCCAACTTCTGCCCTTGGGAAGCAGTTGATATGTGGAATGACAACCAAGCAAGAGTCACAGTGGGATGGGCTGGTACCTCTTACACCCAAAGCACAGACCTATAGTGGCTCAGCAGTAGCCGTCCTTGCAGGAACACCCCAAACCTACTGAGTCCCTCCCTAACATGTCAATCAGCAAGCT